CGGGCGCCTGTAGTCCCAGCTACTCGGGAGGCTGAGGCAAGAGAATCACCTAAGCCCAAGAGCTAGAGGCTGCTGTGAGCTGTGACGTCACGGCACTCTACCGAAGGCGACAAAGTGAGACTGTCTCTTAAAAAAATAAAATAAAAGAGGCAGAGCGAACCGATTGTGGGGTGGGGGAGCAGCAAAGGCTGATACATTCAAGACAAGCCCGGCCTGAACTCCAACCAAACTATTAGATTTTAAAGCCACCAATAAGGAGTCCAAAGAAATTCCGATAAGCAATTTCAAGCAACGGCGCTGACGAGCCTCCCAAATTTCCTTGTAGCTATTAACAACCCCAGCCCAACTCTCCGATGTTTGCTCTTCAGGTTGGAGGTCTGTGACATCATAATTAAGGCTTTCTTCCCTCTGGCCAGGCCTCCTGGCTACGATTGGCTGATTTGGATGAGGGCGGTGATGAACGAAAAGGGCGGGAACAAACAGCAAAGACAAAGAAAGTCTTTGGGTAGGACAAAAAGAAAAGGGGGGAGGGGCCGGCCTGAGGTCCCTATATAGAGATTTGATTCCAATCGCTGCGGCTCCCCAGAGCAGAGGAGCGGGAACCCTGGCCTGAGTCCTCGAGTCCCCGCCCATCTTTGTGGGGCGGGGTCTCGGATGGGGCCATGGAGGCTCCCAGGGCTGCCGGCGGCCCCAACCGGACATCCCCTGGAGTGGCAACCAGAGGAGTGCCGGGAGAAGTCAAAGGAGTCGAAGCAGGCGCCCCGCAGCTCTCCGGAACAGTTTTGTTTAACGATTCTGGGGTCCCCATGGACTCTGGAGCCACCATAGTTCGCAGTTCTGGTTCAAGACGGCCCTCTGGGGAAGTAGTGGTTCTTGGTTCCGGGTCCAGTCAGCACCCTGGGGATGTAACGAGTCACAGCCTTGCGTCCAACACAACATACCCTATTGGATTCAACACCCCCAGCCCTGGAACAAGTATATTTAGGAGTTACAGCCCTGGCCCCGGGGGACCTGGGGCGTACAGCTCAGGGTGCAATCCACAGTCTGATTCAACTTGCTTGCACCCCCACACCTCCTATGAGGACCGGCCTCGGAGCATCCTAAAAAAGATCAGCTCCATCTTGATGCAGAAATCCCCCCCTGTGGAGAAGTAAGGAGCCCAGCTTTGCTAGCACATGACCTAGAGCCGGGAAGGAGGTTCAGGATCCTGGCAGGGCACAGCCAGAGGGGAGAGGTAGGGGGAAAGTCCTGATAACTAGAAATTAGAGTAGTTTAGGGCAATTGCTGCCTTTAAGGAAGCAGTAGGTGGCCCCTAGATCCTAGCTACCTAATACCATGATTATCATTGGGTCTGACCCCATCCCCAGCCTCTACTAGTGGGTGTAAGGAAAGTTGTTTTTTTGTTTTTGTTTTGGCCGGGGCTGGGTTTGAACCCACCACCTCCGGTATCTGGGGCCAGTGCCCTACTCCTTTGAGCCACAGGCACTGCCCAGGAAAGGTTTCTTTAATGACTAGAAGAATGGGAGAGAGGGCTCTTGAGGAGTGAGTTACTAGAAGATCTCTTCCCTCTTTTTTTTTTTTTTTTTT